ATTCTGGATTATCATCTCCACACGGAGTTCTTCTGCTGCAGTCATACCATATAATTATTCCGCTGTTGCTCAGCTGGTCAGTTTCTCAGTGTAGACAAGATTAGCCTTTAAGTATATAAATGGATAATAGTTTACATGAATTCTTCTGTCTTCAAGAAGTCAGCATAAAGTCTGCTCTCAACCACACTTGCCTTAAAAGGAAGGTTACAGAAATATCAAGAAACTATTCATGTCTCGTGTCTTCATAAAATAAGCAAAACTGTATATATGCCAAGTTGCAACAATCTATAGCTAAACAAATTCAAATTCCCTCTGCACAAAATAAATGGAAAATGAGACCTTTTCATCTGCACATCAGCTGTCTATATTTTATGCCAAGAGGAGTGTTTAGCAGTTAATACGTGTACAGTCTTGAGCCAAATCATTAGATTTTACAAGCAAGCAACATGATCAGAGCCCAAGACTAGAAACCAAGAACTCTTGAAAGATAATCCCTCTTACTGAGTCCCTCTATGACTTAGGGTGGTAAGTACCTTATGGTTTAATTCTTAATAGCTAGCTAATATCCATAATTTACGGTGAAAACAAAGTCATCCACCTGGGTATCAGGCACTTAACTTGACTCTATTTGCCCATGTGAAAAATAGGGATAAAGACTGTTTCAAAGCAGTGTTGGGGAAAGCTGATATTTAGTGCTTAAATGTAAAGGCTCAGGCATCCCTGACAGCCTAGCCTTTGGGGATATGCGTGCACGAACTGCAGACTTTTCAGAGGTGACCTCAACACACCATATGAAGTCTTCCTGAAACATAATTGATTGTCAGGCAATACTTGGCTGAACCAGTGTCTTATTTCAAAGCTCAGATTTAGAGCTCTGGATTGCCATGTGGAGTGAGTTCTACTGCCTAGGAGGCATGGCACCCTGAAAACCAGTAAGGCGCTCACTGTAAAATGGTAATTTGGTAAAGAACAAAGTTTGTTTTTTGTAAGGTTCCTTTGAAGTCTCTCTCAAACCAATAGGTGGAGTTTATAAATGGATCCATGTTTCTACCTCCTGCATCTTTGGTCTCTACATTTCACACTGTCCTTATAGCACTTTCTGGAATTTAGACAACGTTGACTCTCTCTGCGTGTGTCACTTACACTTGCTTTAAAACCACTCTCAATGCCAGTTTTGTGTCGTCTTGTTTGTTTTGGGGGGTGTGGTGTTTTTTTTGCTTCCTTTAAACTTTGAATGTCATCTGTGTTACCTGTCAAAGGGAAACGTGTATCAAATAGCTCAAGGACGCACTGGCACATCAAGTCACTGTTGGTCTAAGATCTGATTTGTGTTAACCCAGCCAATGTTTGTTTTATGGCAGCTGGTTACAAGCCCTTCCAGGGTGCATGGGAATGCTGCCACTGGGTTTCTCAGTCTCAGTACGGTGACTGTGCTGCAACAGAAGACTTGTGGGACCGCCTTCCATCTAGCTACAAAGAGGCGATTATGAATCCATGAAACCTGGTAACTCATCGGGTTGAGAACCTATGATTTATTGTATTCTGTTGACACTGCACAAACTATTCCTTAGCCGCTGCCTCCCCACGAACAAAGGCAGCTTTGATACAATGCCTGGAAAGCACTTGTCCAAGGCCTCACTGGGGGGAAATGCTAGGACCATATGTAGGTGCTGCAGTTCTCGTAATGTTTAGTCACAACATCCTGCCACATAAATGCTGCTCTTTGGTCCACAAACTGCTGCTCTGTGAATTTAGATATTTGATCTCTTGAGGCTCATGTTATTTGGCATGCTCATTAGTGTAAGGCCACCTTTAGTCTTGGTCATTTGAATAATGTTGTACCTGGCAAAAGCATATAGTTGCATTGAGATTGGTGGGTTTTTCAAATTATTCTTTTAGTGGTTACTGGCTATTTCACACAATTATGAATTCTGCCAAATTCCAAATACTTGCCTATTTCGCTGCAGTTTGAGGAGGAAGAGTTGGCTTGTAAAGCAATCAGTGATGACTTGAACTTTGTCTGCATTATGATAGCTAACACAAACTTTAGAGCAAGGGTCTCCAACCTTTTTAAGCACAAGATCTCGTTTTGAATTCGTCAGTTCAAGATCCATCTCAAACCCAAATACCCCCTCCACCCATTCTCCAAGGCCCTGCCCAGCTCCACCCCTTTGCTGAGGCCCCATCCTCCTCCCTCTTGAAGATGGAGTACAGGAGAGGGGGATAGTGACATCAGTGCCCCCTTGCCTCTGTCTCCCCTACCTTGTACAACAAGCAGGAGGCTCTCAGGGGCAGCTCTGAGGCTCAGAGCAGGAGCAGCAGGGTAGAGCAGGGAGGGGCAGCTGAAGTGCCAGTGCTTGATAGCCTACCAGCCAAACCAGTCAGGATCACCTATCAGAGGCTCCAAGATCTACCAGTAGATCCTTATCTATTGGTTGTGACCACCGCTTTAGAGCTTAGTGTCAGAAGGAACTCAAACCCTAAATGCCCCAGCCACGCCCCAGGACTGTGAAGGAACTGATTTGTATATGTAGATCTCTGTTGAAATCCCGACGGGGAAAATAGTGTTGACTCACTTCAGCTATATGGTGACAGGTACCGCCTTGTAGGTGTTCCTAGCTACACTCCTCTTCAGACAAGCAAGAACAAGAAGTTGAAATATTCATGTTCGAATAGAAAGTACTAGATCCTCAACTGAGCTGAGGGGTTGTCCTGGTGGTGTTTCAGGACCTGCAAAAAATTCTGAAGTAATGATACATTCATGGATATGCTTCTGGCTTCTGTTTCTCAGTGGTTTAATTGTGTGGAACTTCTCACAGTATGAGGGCTGCCGAGTTCGTCTGTACAGGATAAACTTAAAAAACAAATACTGGCACTTTATAGACTAACAAAACATATAGATGGTATCATGAGCTTTCGTGGGCACAGCCCACTTCTTTAGAAGACCGGAGAGCTGGCATTCACATTACTATCGTATTTGTGCTGAATTACAGTGTCTAAGACGAAACTGGCTAAAGCCTTAGTTCTCAGCTAAGCATTTCTTTACACAAAGCCCGTACAGCTGACTTCTCACCCTTCAGTGTTGTCGGTGAGACTGAGATTACATACAGTGTTGTCTGCTTGCAAACTGTCGTCTTTACTGATTTAAAGTGAGGTCTGGACCTAGTATTGTGATGCCAGTGGCTAGCCCAACATTTAACAAAGCTTTCTCCCCAGAGATTACATGATGAAGGGAAGAGAAGCTAATCAAATGACAACTGCACTAGTTAACTATGTAACTTGTGGAGTCAGAGCATATCATCACTGTTAAGATTTTCCTGGTGGACAATTCAGCAGATTCACTTTGTGATCTACAAATTCTCATGCTGCTGCTGGAAATTCATGAAGATGACTCTTAACTTTGGGCAGAAGTTGTCTCTAATTTGTAGTTGTCTACAAATGTTGTAGCACCTTGTCCTCTGTATTGCTACCTTTCTTCTGTTAGAAAGCATTTTGGGTTTAAATAGAGAATCTTGCAAGGTCCCTGTCTACACTGAAGCTTGTAAAACTTGTTTTATGCAGTTGGGCCCCATCCAATCACCTAGGCCAAATTTCCAACCCATATTCACCTGAGTTAGGGATGTGAAAGGTTAACCCGTAAGCATCACTCTTGCTGGGTCATGCTTACCGGTTCTTGGTTAACCAGTAACACTTGGGAGCTGGTGTGGCTTGCTGCAGGCCACAGGCAGGGGGCTCCTCCAACCCTGCAGGGGGCCGCCACAAACGGGCTGCTCTAGCATCTAGAGCAGCCTCTGTCCGCAGCGAGTCTGGGCGCGTCCCTCCTCCCCCAGCAGAGCCAGCCCCAGTGGGCTGGAGCGGTCCCCCAACTGGATCCCACTTAGTCGGTTAACCAGTTAAATGTTAGTGTTACTTAATGTTCAACGATTAACTGAGACTTTACATCCCTGGCCTGAATTGGGTTTTAAACCAGTCTGGCAAACTTTTGGTCGAATCCCATTTTGAGCTGCAAGATTGTGACGTTGATTTACAGCAATGATGCAGTAATTGAGTCTGGCCCTTTAGACCAGGGCTACTCAATATGCAGCCTGTGGGCTGCGATGAGTAGCCTGCTTATTTGAGGCTTATTTGAGGCCTGCGATGCAGTTTGGGTTTATGCAGGGCTCAACATATGGCCCACAGGTGGGAGCCAAAACAGAAGAGTAGTCAATATAATGGTCTTCTATTGATATGTATTTTAGTAGTAAAATTCCTGGACTGTCATTGCTCATTAAAAGTGCTGTTATAGGGGTGGAAATCAGGTAAATGTTGCATTTTATTAATAGCTGCAGAACTGACTTAAATGGGGCTTGTGTTGTGTAGTCTTGCCTTAAGCTTTGTATTCATGCCCATCAGTGTGAACTAAGCTATTTGCATGTACATGCAACCACACTTAAGTTGTGGCCCTCAGCATGTGCTGTATCATTGTGCCCCCCCGGGCCCTCCAAAGTTGAGTAGCCCTGCTTTAGACAATTAAATGAAGTTTAATTTTAGATTAGAATGTAAAGGTACCTTAACACGTAACACTTCCTAAAAGTCTAGTGTGAGCAAGGCAGCTTATTCTTTAACGTGATGAAGTGGTCAAGTGGCTTGTACTCATTTAGCTTTGAACACTGCTTTGTCTACATCAAGGATTTAAAATTATTCACTAATATATTCTAAACACACCTATTCTCCTCCTTAAAACAAACCCTATTAACTGTTCTTTGGCTACATATTGTGACAACGTTCAGTTTAACATTAACTACACTTCAAAGCCAGTGTACCCATCAAGCTGAATAAGGAGCGATGGCACTGTTGAGAGTAAAGGTTACCTTCTATCAGAATGAGGGGAATGTAACCTGCACGGAATGCTAAACTCTGAATAGTGTAGTGAGAAAATCCTAAGCTTGACAAAAGCACACCTTTGGAGTTCTGGGTGCACCAACTGTGACTGAGCAGCGAATTCAGGTTTGGAGAAACTGAGGTGGTAAAAACAAATGTTGATTGTGAAGGTAAATATCTTTCACAGCTAGCACCATAGATCTCTACAAAGCCACATCAGACTGGTTGCTTGTGGTGCTGCAGGACATGTAAAGTAAACAGTTTTGTCCTGTGCTATAACTGAGCTTGGAACTGGCCCCTTTCAACTTGGGAGGCTTAATGGCCCCAGTGTTTACTATGAAATGACTTTGTTATATGAAAGCTTTATGGCTAGACTGACTTACATTTAGGATGACACGGCTCCCCTGCTCCTAAGAAACGCTCAAGTTAATTGGAAAGGCCAAGAGCCAAGGCTATTACTGCCAGCAGTACAATGGCATCCTGTTAACCATGTGTCCTGTTACTTGTGCAGACTGAATTTCCAGCTCATTTTGTATTAGTTGTGTAGACACATGCAGCCCTGAGCCAGAACAGTCAGGGGAAATCTATTTTTAGGTACCCATAAGCTAATGACTGAAGCCAGACAGACTCCTGTGTAGTTTTCAGAGTTGGCTTATACTTGGGTTAGACATCGGGATTCTTTTCTCATACAATTCTTCTCTTCTTCCAAGCCCCCCGCACGCACTAACACATCCTCCCGTGAAGGTGTTATCTTCATTACCTGTCTCTGTCCACTTCATCTGTGATTTGCCCCAGGCCATAAAATGAGTGGATGTTAAAACCAATGTGAGTGAGGGGTCTGGCTTTGATTTCATTCCCTGTACATTGCCTGTGTTGTTGCTAAGACTGTCTTCCCTTTCTGTCTCCTTTTTTCTTCAGCCTTAATGTGACTCTATTTGTTCTGGGCTTTCATCTCTCGGTTGTCTGGGCCGAAGCAGGATTCACTGCTTCACTGATGGAGCACATCTGGAGATGGATTGAATCAGTGACTTAAACTAAAGGGCTTGGCTGGCTGCTTTGGCTGTAATGTGAATAGTGAATCGGTGCTGTTTGGTGATGGCGAAGGACAGGTTAAACAAATGCCTCTGCTTTCAGACTCGCTAACTTTCAGTTTGCACTTGGATGTGGCAGAGCTTGTTTTTGGAGCAGAAGCTCGGAGTAAATGGCAGTAGTGATGCATTGGAGAAATTGGCTGCCATCCCAGTTCATATGTCTGTACATCCTCTACATTAACCAGCTGTAACCCAAAAGGCCTGCTCTCCATTGGGGGCAAAAATAGACACAATTAGAAGCCTTTTCCTTTCAAATGTAGACTTGTGAATGTTGCATGTGAAGTTTGGGGACAGGTAGGAAGAGGGAAAAGTCTGCTCAGCAGAGGCAGCAGACCCACTACTGGACTTTAGCGAATATAACCTGCAGGTTATGTGAAGTTTTACATACCCCCGCACAGGCTATACTTGTCTGCGTGTAATACAGGTGTTTTTTTTTTTTTTTTTACTGAAAGGAAGACAAGACTGACTGACTTGAAAAAAAGCAGCATATTTTAATTTAATAATAGGGACAGTTATATTAAAATTCATTAAAATATATTAAAATTCATTAGTTTACTATGCAACTAGTAAAAGAATAAAAACAATTTTAAAAAGCCATCTTTGTATTCTCAGTCACTCTGGTCTCTAGAATCAGCACCAGCAGCATCCTCCTCAGCATCTGAGTTCTCAAAACCATCAAAACTCTGGTCATAGTCACGGTCTTTAAAAACATCCATAAAATCCATAGCCAAGGCTAGGTCGGTTTCGGTGACAGTTGAGGTCTGTGGTGCAGAATCAGAATAGCTGTTGTACTGGGAATCAGAGTGATAAGGGTTGTAACCTACTTAGTGCTTGTTATCAGCTGCAGCTCATTAACACTTGATTGCAGGTGCTTTTCATTAACATTACCCACAGTTCATCTCCTGCGGGCTATACACCTGTGCGGGGTATACATGACTTTTTTTACTCAATCAAGGAAAACTGCAGGTTATACACATGTGTGGGTAATACTCGTGCATGGGTTATATGCGCTAATTTATGGTACTTGTGTGATGCGGAGCTTTTTAAGATACATTTGTTCTAACAGCTTTTCATGGTGCAGAAGAAGAAAACAACTGGCTGTAGAAGTAAATAAGGAGGTTGAAATGGAAAGAACTCTGGCCTTGGAGCAATAGAAGTGGTGACCGCTGCATCATTTTGCCCCGCATCAGCACAAAAGGAATGTGAAGGTTACATGCTGCAAATAGATAAGTTACCAAAGGCACAGCAATTGGCTCAAAGAAAACTAGGGATGAGAGTAAGAGAAGCATGGGGTTTTGGTACAAAGAAAGCACTCAAGCATCTCAATATGCCTCAGATACATTGAATGGGACTTTGGGCCTTGGCTGTACTGATTAGATGGAAGCTGGGAATTTGACTGCCATTAGTCGGGACTCTTATCTCTACTGTCACTGCTGATTATCAAACTGTCGAAATGGCTTTCTCTGCTTATAATCTGACTGATGCGGTCAGTAACTGTCACAAGGTGGTGTTCTTGGCGTCCGTCACTGCCCAGTTAACTGACTGTAACATCAGGCTTTGGTGCATTTCCTCGCGGAAGAAACTGGCTACTGGGCTGTGTTCCAGAATCAGAGGCTTTATCAGACTCTGCCTGGACTGGCACAGGACCTGTTTGGCTGGTGTCCCGTCTAAAAGTGGCTGAGGTTCTGGCCAGCCTGTTCATGCGGAAGGAGGGAGGGTGGGCCCCCGCTGAATGGTAGTGTGTTTAGAGAAGGGAGTGCTTCTGTTAAGAGATTTGGGTAATTGGCAAGAGTGAAAAAGGAAATGAAGCATGCACTAGGTGTAATGGGTTTTTGGTAAATGTATCTGAGTGGGTTTGATCTCACCACAAAACCCTCTGCTCCACTTGAGGATCTCTTGCTTCCTCTTGGAGCTTAGTAATTGGCACAAGTAACTAGGACCTAGACAGCAAGGATTTTCACCTCCTAGCTATTCTTCCTTCTCCCTCCCTACTCCTGCTTCTGCTGTGCACTGTCTGGAATTCAATTGTGACTGGGTTAAGGGGTCCACCCAGTTACTACAGTCAAAATCATAGTGCACATGGGACTCAACCATGTACACTGATGTAAGAAGACTCTCAAGTAAATATTATGTGTAGACTGGATCCAGGTAATAACCAGTCCTATTACTTGGTATTGCCACAGTGTTATGGGCAGTATCTGTGGATCTCCCTCAAACCTGCCTGAATGCAGAAAGAGATCCCAGAGAGTTTAGAACAGAACTAGTCTCTTGAGGAAATAAGCTTACAATGCAGTTCTTTTAGAGAACTCAATCTTAATTACTTGACTCCTGCTCTTTATAACCATTTGAAGTTTTATTGGCTGGTTTTGTAGCATTTCTATAATAAGCATGGGGAGAGTCCTGCCAGGGAGTAAGTCTAGCTTCTCAGACTACAGCAGTAAGGGTGGAGTTCCTCTGAAGGCAGTTAAAACATTGCTCAAAAGGTATGGCAAAGCTAGTTGGCTCTTGCACTCAGCAGCCTTAAAAGCATTAAGGAAGCACAGACTATAGTGAGGACAACTGAAACTGATCTGGGAGCCTTTTCTGTACAGCAGTTTGGCTGTTTACTTAGAGCAGAAAGCCAGTCTAATATGTAAGGCAGCAGTTAGAGAAATAGCCACTCTTAGAACTAACATCATATATGGAATAATCTTTGCAATGTGTGTTTGGTAAAACTTTAACAAGATGAGTTACTGTTGTAGTGAACCCGATTGGTAAGACTAGCCCTCAAGTTGGACAGCAGGGCTAGAATTCTGAAGTCCCAAGAGTGTATTAACCCATGTGCGAAATGTAGCGTGAATCAGTCAGAATGTTAAGTGGGAAAACCTATTTGCATTCAGAATGTTACTCCTTTTCCTATATTTTTCGTAGAGGCTTTTGCTTAGAATCATTTAACTGGAGATGTCTTGGTGAGCACACTCAGGGTGGTGCTGGTGGTTGTTTTGTGACTGCTACACATACAATGACTTGGCAGGCTCTGGTGCAAGACATCTTTAGTTCCCACCCTGTTTGGTGATGAAACTTGGGCAAGGGTGGAACAGTATGTCTACCAAATTTTCTTGAGGAACATTGAATAGAAAATACTTCCTGCTTGTGCCCCAAAGGCTTGACTTGAGTTACAGCCCAGCTTGAAAGCTGTCAATCATGACATGGAATTTATGATGAGCTGTAGCCTATATTGTCTCATAGGCAGTCAGAATCTGCTTATCGGGTGACTTTCGAGCAGTATTGGAACTATCATCTCCACCTTTGTAATTGACTCTATCTTGAAACCCGTCATTCTGTCCATATAAGGTAATCTCTGAGTTCCTTACTGTTGGCACAGTGGCAGGAATGTCAGGGTAATGCAGCTGCCTCAACGTAATTCATTCTGCTCCTCCTCTTTGATGCAGGAGCTGGTCATGTGGCTTAGAAATGTTTCAGCATGTTCAAAGATCTACTTCAGTTACACTCTCCACCTTACCTTAGGAATTTGGGGCTTGATCCTGCCAATGCTGAGAAATCCAGTAATGCGTTCAATAACTTCATCTCATTGACTTAAATGGGAGTAAAGGCTGCAAAGCACCTTCATAGCGGCACCCTGGATCTCATAGCATCAGGGCAGTGGTTAGCATGTTGCCACTTGGATGTAGACACGCGTCAAGTTCATTTTCCTCTGAGAAGCATCCTAGATCTACAGGATCAGTGCTGCATCCCATCTTTTAAACAGTTTCTTGGAGGAACCCCTTCAGTGCTGGACCCCTGGAAGAGGTTTTACTCTTTCTTCAGGGCAGGCCACACAATCTCACCTCCTCTAAGCTGGAGCCTCGGATCTGGCATTCCTATGTCATGCTTTGAGCTCTGCCCAGCAAGTCCACTTATAGATTCCTTGTTAGTGACTTATGCTATGCCAACACTGGCACCCGAACAACAAAACGTTTGTCATGCAGAGGTGTTAAAATGACTCCACTCCTCCCCCCCTTTGAAAGACACAAGTTTTGCCAAAAGCTGCCTGTGTGAACAGTGCTTTGCTCTCCTGCTGACAGACTGAACATCACTTG